CAAGTGTGTCGAGAGTAGTTTACTAATTTCAAGATTTCACTTTACTTTTAACTGATACACGCGACGTCGTGTTCTTTTGTTACGTTGTTACTCACTCGGTTGTTGAAAGTCGGAAGATTCTCGTTCGTTACCTTGAAGCAAAGTTGGTATTATTAATGCTCGGAAGTAATATATTTATTCTAATGATAAGGAGAGCTCTTAAATGCCAAGATACATTTTTCCCGATTATTCGAGGAGTGTGCTGATGTTCAGTACTATGGTTAAACTGCTTCAGGCTCCTGTCACACCAAACATGCTCGCTCTTTCAGCCGTGGGGGCGTTATAATGTGACGGTCAATCCCACTATTCGTTGGTAAAAGAGTAGCCCAAGAGTTGGCGGTGGGTGGCGATGACTAGCTGCCTTCCCTCTAGTCTTACACTGCTAAATTAGGGACGGCTAGCGCAAATAGCCCTCGTGTAGCTTTGCGCGAAATTCAAAAACAAACAAACAAACAAGCTTCAGGCTCAAGTAAGAACCTCGTATTAATTTTCTTGTTAGTTCTACCAGCAGGATGTTAGTTTCTGGGAATTGGAGTTACAGATAACCTTCCATAGTTTATTAGATGTTTATGGAACTTGCAGGGAATTTTCTTGTTAGTTCTACCAGCAGGATGTTAGTTTCTGGGAATTGGAGTTACAGATAACCTTCCATAGTTTATTAGATGTTTATGGAACTTGCCGGGAAAGGATTGTGTCAGAATATCAGAAGTTAAGCTACGTAAAAGCCTTCTATATTTTGAAGTGGTAGATCAGTGGGTAGCAGCTAGTCAACAACACCCACCGACAACTCTCGAACTACTCTTGTCTGAACAAATAGTGGAATCTGACTCTGAAAGCGCATCCATGGGCCTAAACTGTGGAGCACGTTATTGAAGCAAGGGTTCTCGAACCGTGAATTTTTGGATTCATATTCAGGGACACGGGAAAAAGAAGGAGCGAATTATACTTACAATTTGAAACATACTTACTAGAAAATTCTTAATCTCAGAAAATGTGAACTACTTAAGAGACCAAGTCACAACTGAGTGAAGTAATCCACAAACACGTATTATTAAATATAATTAATATATGTTTATGAGAGTCAGTTGTCTTTTTATTCCTGTAAAAGTGGTTATTATTTGGATTAATAAATACAGTTTATATTTATTGTCCTTTCTTCAGCTGTTTCGTATTGTTTTAACTGTTGTCATTTTATTGAAATTGGTGTGTTTTGTTACATTGCACTAAGTTAGCCCATCTTGTAAGAAAATCAGTTTGGAGTCTTGGATGAATAAAGAAAATCATAGAAAATGATTTACATAGCAACACGTTTAATTAGGCTTAAGCAATTTACATAGAAATTGAAAGTTCAAAGTTCATAGCAGGCCTGTTCATTCTACTTGGTCATTATTCATAGTGTCATTAACTGTGTACTTAATGCCCAATGTCCATGGCGTCATTAAATGTGTACTTAAAGTCCAATGTCCATGGTATCATTAACTGTGTACTTAATGTCCAATGTCCATGACGTCATTAGCTGTGTACTTAAAGTCCAATGTCCATGGTGTCATTAACTGTGTACTTAAAGTCCAATGTCCATGGTGTCATTAACTGTGTACTTAATGCCCAATGTCCATGGCGTCATTAATTGTGTACTTAATGCCCAATATTCCCGGCGTCATTAATGTCCAGTCATGAAAGCGTTTAACATCTTGCTTACGTTTTTATTTTTGTGGGTGGTGACTCTCATTGTCTTTGTTTCTAATACTGGTCATACTGTCATCGTTATCGCACGATTCAGTTAGTCTTGCTGCTTATCATAAATATAACAGGAAACACAATGTTTTTACCCTATAAACTTATTCTTTAAACCTACTTCGTATGTAAAATGTACGGTAGTTTTCAAAATAATGATCTTGAAAGTGGTTTGTTTTTGAATGTCGCACAAATCTACATAAGAGCTATCTGCGTTAGCCTTCCCTAATTTAGCAGTGAAAGACAAGAGGAAGGCTAGTCAACACAAATCTCTGCCAACTCTTAGGGCTCCTTATTTAACAATTAATAGTGTAATTACCTTCACATTATAACGCTCGCTCGACTGAAAGGGCGAATATGTTCGGTGGCGGGGATTTGAACCCGCGATCCTCATATTGCGAGTCGAACGCCTCAACCACCAAGCCATGCCAGGCCGTTCTGAAAGGGTACTTTGTACGTATAATGTACGGTAGTTTTAACAACAATGTACTTCGGATGTAAAATTAACATTAAAATTTACAAAAATAAGGTTCTTAATAATACGTCTGGTTTAACTTTCGCATACCTCAAGCAATGCTTATGGATTTCTGTGCGATTGGACCATTTAAATGTACGTTGGGAAACCGTCATCCTCATATGTAGATGGATTATGGAAAGCAAGCAGGGAGATTTAGTGTGCTTTGGATGTGACAGCCTTATAACAAAGCTTTTTTTTTCAACGAAAGTTACGCTGCTTGACTATTGGCAAGTGCCAGATCTTCAGATAGAGATTGCAACATGATGTGTGATTTGTAATGACGTGGTGAACTCCAAAATAGTTTCAATATTATGTATTTAACCCTCTGTGCTTCGCGTATAAAGTGTACAGTAGCTTTAAGTTAAAACTTGAAAATGTACAATGAATGATTTCTTCTCTTAAAAATGTAACATTTAAATTTGTTCAGTAGATGATTTGTTTGGTTGAGTTTTTGTTTCATCACATCAAACGTTGGTTGAGTTTGATTTCATTACGTCAGGCGTCGGTTGAGTTTTGTTTCATCACATCAGGCTTCTGTAGAGTTTTGTTTCATCACATCAAACGTTGGTTGAGTTTGATTTCATTACCGGTTGAGTTTTGTTTTATCATATCAGGCTTCTGTAGAGTTTTGTTTCATCATATCAAACGTTGGTTGAGTTTGATTACATTACATCAGGCGTCGGTTGAGTTTTGTTTCAGCACATCAGGCTTCTGTAGAGTTTTGTTTCATCACATCAAACGTTGGTTGAGTTTGATTTCATCACATCAGGCTTCTGTAGAGTTTGATAGTGTGAAAAAATCTGTCCCAATGAGAAATAATATTCTACATATGTTTCACTTGACTGAGTTATAGAGCAAAAATAGTGTGAATAATCAGTCCCAATGAGAA